CAGAAAATTACAAATGGAACCACCTTATGACCCAGCCCTTCCACTTCTGAGAATATATCCAAAGAAACCTGAAACACTGCTTGAAAGAATACACACACCCACATATTTATTGCAGTGTTCTTTATAATAGCCAAGATTTGGAAACATTCCAAGTGTCCATCAGTAGATGAGTGGATTAAAAAAAGCTGTGGTACATTTGCACAATGGAATACGAGTACTACTTGTCTGTAAAAAAGAAGGAAATCTTACCCTTTGTGGCAGCAAGGGTGGACAGAGTATTATCTAAGTGAAATAAGCCAGTCAGAGAAAAGACAAATACTGTACGATTTCACTTACATGTGAAATCGAATGAACAAAATAAATAACAAAATGGAAACAAGTTCATAGATACAGAAAACAGCTGTCAGAGGAGAAGGCGGTTGGGGAGCTGGGTAAAAAAAGTGCGGGACTAAGCAAAACAAGAACCCTCATCGACACAGACAACTGCACGGTGATTACAAGAGTGAAAATAGGGCAGGAGGAGGTAGAGGAGGGTAAAGGGGGATGAATGGTGATGAAAAGAAACTTGATTTTGATTGGTGAACACACAATACAATATACAGAAGATGTATTATAGAATTACACAGTTGAAAGCTATAGAATTTTATTAACCAATGCCACCCCAATGAAGTCAATAAAAATTTAAAAAAGAAAACACAGCTACAGTTGTATTTATATATACCTATATACACACATGCATAATATACACACATACATATGTACCTATGTATACACAGTTAATGGGATATTTTTCAGTTTTAGAAGAGAAAGAAATCCTGCCACTTCACATAACATGGGTTGACAGTTGGACTGTATGATAAGTGAAATAGGTCATACAGGTAAGAGAAATACTGCATGATCTCACTCGTTGTGTGGAATCTAAAACAGTCCAACTCACGGTATTGTGGGTGCCAGGGACTGGGGGGAGGGGTAATGGTGAGATGCTGGTCAAGGGCGCACACTTTCACTTACAAGGGTAATAGACTCTGAGCCTGGTTATAGTTACTCGTACTGTATTATGTTAAAATTTGCTAAGAGAGATCTCAAGTGTTCTCACCACATTCAAAAAGAGGGTAACTCTGGGAGGTAATGGCTGTGTTAATCAGTTTGATGGTGGTAATCCTTTCATAATGTACATGTACCTCAAATCATCATGTTATACAATTTAAATACAGGCAGTTTTCATTTGTCAAATTATACCCCAGGAAATCTGAGGGGAAATAAAAAATAAAGTGTTTAAAGGGGGGAAAAACACGAGATGGCAAACGTAGCCTCACAGATAGGCTGAACAGCCACAAACAGCTCTTATAGCTCTAAGGAAAACTTCCCTAAAAGGCCTTCCAGGGTCGCCCCTGAATCTGGAGAGGAACTCTCTCCTAGCGTCTCAGGAGTTAGATGAAGACATGTTTAACAGATGGGTGAGTAATCAAAAGAAATGGACTCTTCCTTTTACAAGCCAGTAGCTGAGCAGGATCTACACATCTCACCACAGGCTCATCGTTTGAAAGTAGTTCCTGTAAGTGCAACCTATCATTTATGGATCATTGTTTAGGTCTCAGGCTTAAAGTTTTAACTTTAACTACACGGAGTTATTCGACTTCTTTCCCCTCTTACCGACGGCAGGTTTCAATTATGTAATTATGGTTAAAGAGGGCTGAAGAGTTTTTACTCCTATGCCTTCATCCTGATTGGATAATGGTTTGCAATGACTGGTTGAGAGCTGTGGAAAGACAAACATGAGGCAAAAAGCTTGGATAGCTATCTAAATATTTACAAACATACTAGACCATAAACTGTGAGGTGAGGGCCTGTGTTTACCGCTCTTGGGTTGGTTATAACCCCGCCATTCCTGCGGGGTGGATACTCCCAGTTAGTGGGTATGTGCTGAATTTGCCCATTCCACAACTACTTATTGAGTCTTAATTTTGTGTTAGACACTTTGTACTCTATGTGCACTGTGTAATCACAGTGACCAAGATAGGCAGAGTGTCTGCCTTCATGGAGCTTACATTCTAGCGGCAGGGAGAGAGAGGCCGACAGACAGACAAGAAAAGGGATGCAGTGCAGTGAGGTGAAGAGTTGTGTGGTGGTGGGATGGGAGGGGCCAGAGTGTTTTCATTGTGCCCAGTGTGGGGTGAGAAGCCTCCTGAAGAGGGATCATAGTGATTATCAGCAACATGTTCTACACAGAGAGAGAGTGATACAGACGGAGATACACAAAGCTGCGGTGTCAGGGCTCGGAAACAGTTCCTTCCAGTTCAGCAGGTAAGCTCTGTTCTTTGTATTTTCATGTGGAGTCGCTTGTGTGAGTCTTGGGAAAAAAAAAAAAAAAGATTAAAGCATTGATTTTTAGGCTAGAATGAGCTAATGAATTTGTTCCCTTCTCTTTGAAGGACTAGTTTACACAGACAGGGCAGCGTGGCGGTGGGCTTGGCTGACTGTTAGTTGCCTAAGAATTTTGTGTTTCTGACTCCCCACCTCTTCTGCCGCCAACCTCGCCAGGGCACATCTTTAAGTCCTGTCGACTGTTCACATCCTGCAGGCAAAGACTGACTGTGGCTCATGAGAAGACTTAACAAAAAATAATAATAATAATAATAATAACTGAGACCATTTGAAGTGCAGCAATTAAGTTCGGGAGAAACTGCCGTTCGCGCAAACAAAACATTCCAACGAGGAAGATTCTCTAACTACAGAATTAACGCAGATCTCCTTGTGTCGTTTATTTCGAAAGCTCCGTTTCCAGTTCCTAACAGCATCTAGTAGGTGTTCACCGAGTGCTGTCCCCTCCCCCGCACGCCTGCCTAAAAGGGGGGAACTCCTGTTGTTTGGAGGTTTGGTTTTGTTTTCTTAGCCAAGCACTTAAATCACCGATGTTTCATAAGTACCTTTTGATGGGTTTCATTGTTTTGTTTATTTTGCTTTAGTCAGTGCAGAAACCTTCACATTTCCTTCTGTAACAAGCCTTTTTTCAAAGCCACCCTCTGACCCGTCTGCGGGAGGCGGTCTGCAGACAGACCGTGCAGCCGGGCTGACTCTTGCACGGGCTCTATCTTCCACACAACACTCCCGGCCTCTTTGAGGAGCCAATTTCCAAGCTAAAAGAACAAATGAAAAATGTTCGCTCATCTTTCGAAAAATATACTCTCGGTATGTTCGCCTCTATTCATGGTGTTCTTGAGTAATGGATACAGACTGCGACATCGGCTTTTCCCATTCGGAGGTTTTGTCTTAAATTTCTGGCAAGTTATTTCCTCGTCCGACGTTTTATTTTCCTGATTGATGAATCTTTAACATGCTACACTGAGCCTCCTCTCCTAGCGACTGTTCTCCTCTCCCCTTTTAAAAGGGCTTAGGGATGGAAAAGCTGACTTTGGAGGGTCCCGTGAGGTTCCCTCTCCCGACCCCCGCTCCTCCTCTCTGCGCACTCACGGCCGAGGCCGCCGGCTTCGGAGCCGAAAGAGCCCGTGGCGGGCGCGGCGAGGAGGGCGTCGCGCTGGCGACCGGCTCCCGCTGGCGGCCGGCGAGCCCGCTGGGGTTCACGGGGGGCGCGGGGTCAGCGCCTTCGAAGTTGGGGGCCTCACGCGGCGCCGCGGTGACCGCTCAATCAAGGCGTCCCGCGCCCCGATGCCCTCGCGGGGAGAGAGCCGCCGGATCTGTCCCGGCCCCGCAGAGTCTTGCTCTTCCCGGTGCCATCCTCGCGACTCAGCCCGTCGCGGGGCGGGCGCAGGCGAAGAGGAGCTGGCGAGAGCGGAGCGCAGGCCTGGGGCGGAGGAGGAACGAGGGGCCGGGAGCCGGGGGGGATTTCCTCCTCTGCTTCCCCCTCCAACGGGAGCGGAAAATGTGATTTGCTGTGCATTCCAGGCGCGGTTCCCTGGGGTGACCTCTCCCAGCCGGCCTGGGCGGGGGGAGCAGACAAAGAGGCGAGGCAGGCGGAGAGGGGACCCTGCGGGGAGGCAGGCGGGGTGCCGGGGGCGGGGGCAGTACCGGGAAAGGGGGCGGATAGCGGGTCCCGCGGCGGCGGCGGCGGCGGCGGCGCTCGGCCAATGGAGAGGCGCGGCCCTGGGCGCCGCGCTCGGCCGCCGGCTTTTAAACGGGAGACGGCGCGATGCCCCGCACTCGGTGCGCCGTCCGCGGACCGGGCGACCCAGTGTGCAGCGTGCGCGTTTCTCGCTGTCCGGCTGACCCCGCGCCGAGCGCCGGCGGCTCGGGCCGCGGCCGCACACCGCGCCACGCGTCCAGAGCGCCGGCCGCGACTACCCGCCGCATTGACAGGTGAGCGCGGAGGCGCGGGTCTGGGGTGTGTGTGCGTGTGCATATATGTGCGTGTGTGTGTGCGCGCGCGCGCAGAGAGCCGCAGAACGACTCCCGCGCTCGGGTCGGTGCAGAAGCGCGGCAGCCCGCGGTGCGTATAGACCGAGGCCCTGCGGTTTTCTTGGGTGAACCACGGAGAGTCATCGCGGGTTCATTCCTGCCAAGGTCGTGGCTGCCATGACTTCACTCTGTGCTGTCTGCAGGGACAGGCTGGGAAAGAGGATGTCAAGAGCGAGAGCGAAGGCCCCGCGTCCCATTTCCAACCTCCCAGGGCCCCGCTAACGCGCTCCTCGGGCGCGTGGCAGCGGCGGCGCCAGCCGCGCCTGCGTGGCGAGGGCACGGAGCCCCCTGCGGCCGGAGCGCGGGAGCCCAGGGCTGGTGAGCGGGAGCAGCGGGGCGCGGCGGGGACCTCAGCTCGGCAGCCGACGGCGGGGCAAGAGAAACTGAGGGGGTCGCATGTATTTGAGGCGGGGCGCTGGGGCTAGGCTACCTCTCGGGGCGACCGTCGGAGTGCTGGTAATGATTCTACCGTGGGCTGGACGATCGATCGGGGGAAGCCGCGATTGTGCCCGTTTGCCCATCCTCAAGGTGAGATGGAGACTCTCACAAGAGCGGAGCCGCAGGGTTCCGCCGCAGCGGAAGCAGGAGGGTCGGGTGTCGGGACACTTGATCCCGGATGCGGATTTCAGAGAGCACTTAGTGCTTGCACCGCACGCACCCACGTGCTGGCTGCGCACTCGTGGGCGCTCGGTCCCCTCTTTTAGGCTTCTCTCCGACCCACGAGCTCCTGGGCTGAACTTCGGACGTCCAGACTCCAGCAACGACAACCCGTCGGGCCCCGCATCTGCAGGTGCCCCTTAGTTTGTGTGCTAGAGGCCCCCACCACTCCGCGCCTCGCCGATCCTCGCTAGCGACGGACCACACGGGACTGGCGGCAGGAGGCTGGTCTCTGGCTCGGACGCCCAGGTCGTCCTTCATCCTCTCCCGCCGCTTCACACGGCTGACCCCTCTGCAGCTGTAGGAGCAAGGCCAGGGGCTTCGGGGCTTCGGGGCTTCTGGGCTTCGGAGCTGTCACCGCATCAGCCACAGTCATTTGTAGACATTAGGCTTGGGAAGTACAGACGCGCCCCCCGCGCTAGCTTGGCGTTGTCTTCGGATCCCAGTTCTGCCTGGGGAGCGCCCCAGCCTGGCGTTTCTCCGCACCGGTAACAGTGACGGTCCCCGGCTAAGGCGGGGGCACACAGGAGGTAACCAAGGCTTTACAATAAAGCTCTTTCCGCGCGCCCAGTGCTGGCCTGACTGTGCTCCCCGGTTGAACCCGGCTGTCGCCTCCTGCTCCCCTGCCGACTCCGAACCCAGGCTCTTTTAGACAGAAATATAACCTCAGCCTTAGGGGTTAAAATCTCTTCTTAAAAAATGGTACAGGGGCAGAGGGGCGACCATTGGTAGGTAATTGGATCTCCTGCTGGAAAGAGCAGATCCGAGTGGTGTGCGCCTCTGTTTATGTTCTCCTTCAAAATGGTACCAGGACAAGAGTTGATTAAAATAATATATTGTGTTAAGTGGGTCGCCAGGGATTTAAACTGTCCCAGGGACCCCAGAGTAGTGGCTTCTTTCTGGCTGTTACACAAGTTAAATAAATAGCGGAGAAGAGGTTAAGATAACCCCGTCCCGGGGTGAGGAGTCGTCTTTCTCCCCAGGGCTTTCCAGCTCCCCCTCCTCTTTCTTCTTTTTCTTTTCCTTTTTCTTTTCTTTCTGGAAGTGGGAAAGGGGGCATAGGGACTTAAAGGGGTGGACTTTTCAAAGCAATGAGGGGAAGATCTTAAGAAAACTACGGATTATCATTTCCTCCCTGGCACACCCAAATCTACAACAGTAAGTAATTTGATTACTGTCACTGGATAAATTGCCCTCTCCAATGGTTAACTAATTACTTAAGGGTTCTTTAGTTCTGTAGTCTCAGTCTCTCTCTGTCTCTTTCTGTGTGTTTAACCCCCAGGTCAGTTAGAAATTAAAGTCTTTTTGTAAACTCTGTAATTTCACAGGTTTCCAATTTTCTTAAAGTTCATGTTGAGTGAAATGTTTTCGTAACTCATAATCTATAGGGAATCCAGGTTGGCTGAGTCTTTAGGTGAGTGCTTGCTTATACAGGGAAAAATAGAAACTTAATTTAAGTCCCCACATCTCTGAAAGAGAATTGCCTGCCTGCCTTGTCTTCTAAACTGAAGCCCACCGTCTTAAGTATTAAAAGTGTTATAAATCCAAGAAGTATTATGCCACAGACATCTCTCCCAATAACAGCAAAGCGGTGGAGCGCATCCTAGAACAGAGTAAAGAACAGGTAACGCTAAGCCTTTTATGAAAAGGAATATGGGAGGAGGTAGGGGAGGTACAGCAGGCACTGGGAGGCACAGGTCGGGCAAGTGTTGCCAGCCCATGTCATACATCTGCAAGGAATTTTCTTTCATTTTAACATATGCTCTTAGAAAAGCAAAGCCCAACAATAGTTCCTGGGATGAGGAATTTTATCCACAGTAAACATGAAGATAAAAGAGATAATTACTTGAGTTTAAGATATTTTTCAAATTTTATTGCATTAGAAACGAATCCATGTGCCCCTTGTTAAATGCTGTGGCAGGTGTCCACTGAACCGTGGTTGAGGGAAGGTGTGTGGGCACTAGATGGAACTGGACTTCAACCTTGGCTCTCCTGCTCAGGAGCTGTATGACCTGAGACAGATTCCTAACTTCTGAATCTAGATTCCCTGATTGGGAAAATAAAGACAATATTATCTATCTCATATTATGCTGTGGAAAATAAATGCTAAGATTTGCTCAGAATTTAGCATAATAACCTGGCATAGTAAGGGTTTAAAACTATAGGTGACTCTTAGTATCAGTGGTCGTATTGGGAGAGGAGGTAGCAGTCTACAGCGCCAGGATATATTACAAGGTGGTTCTGAAAGTAAATCCTAAACCCCACTCACACAGGTACACATATACATCTTTCACTGCGAAACAGCACATATACTTGGCTGTCTCTCCATAGTGCTGCTCAGTGAACATTTAATACTTATTACTTTCTAACTTATTTCCTGTTGACCACAAGAATTCTATACAATCATTACCTGCGCGCTCGCAGGTGCACACACACACACACACACACACACACACAAATCTTCCTATGAGTTTAGAGCTCCGGGGATGCCTAACTACTAGGTGGTCTTTTCTCTGTCCTATGCTATCTTAGGCCCCAGCCTGAGTTAACCTGAATGGGGTTCAAAATAAGGATGTTGTGGTTAAGGTACTTGCAGCATATACAGGATGAGACTTTATGGTCTACTAGTTTGCTAACCACCATCTCTCTTCTGTACAGCTTGTCTGAAAAAATAATCAACTCAGTATATTCTTAAATTCTCTACTTAATTTCTAAAAGTTGATAATCTTTTTAAAAAATAAAGAGCAAAATAAAAATGACCTTGCCCTTCTCAAAGATTTAGTCCTGAGAAAAAGGTGTAGTGTATTCTCAAATCCAGCCTGCACTTAGAGTGTTCCACTGTTTGTTTTTTTGTTATGTTTTTTTTTATGCTGGGAGAAAAATTTGATGCCATAACTGTTGAATGTCTTTCTAAAACTTTATTCATCAGGAGGAATTGATCAGACATTGAGGCACAGACATCTAGCCTGGTGACCATTGTCTCTTCACTGTAATGCCCACTGAACACTCCCTTTAACTGACGATAAGCAGGTTGGTTAGCTAAAATGAGAAAGAGACCAAGAAGAGTGTGGAAAGGAGCTGGCCTAAAATTTTCCAAAGACACCAAGAACATTGTAAATGGGTCATACACAGCATTTTTAGTTTTGATTCCTCAGAATTAGATGATACTTTCATCAAGTGAAGACTGGAATAAATCACCATGACCTGCACAGGACAGCAGTGGTTGATCTGGTTTATCTCACATGCAGATGTTTGCGCTTGATCCCTAAGGGAAACATGGAGGAAGGCATCAGGTAAAGAAGACCTGCGGTGAGAGGATCTGCATCCTCTGGGACGAGTGGATTGGTGGCGGGGGGAGAACAGTAATAAAGGGAAAAAAGGTGTGGGATGGGTCTTGGGGTGGGGGTAGTGGGGGACAGGAGCAGAGAAAGCTCACCATGACAATATGACCCCATCCCTTGGAGGAGAAATGCATTAAGGGGAAATTGAGGCAGGATTTTACAAGAAGAATATTTTCTGTAAAGGAAAACTAATGGAGGTCTTCGTAGGTGTCATGATGCACTCTGGATCCATGACTTGCAGCTTTAATTTAATGACATGTGTAGGTTGTTTCATGAATGCAAATCACCAAAAATGTTTGTAGCTTATGGTTGGACATGGGTGATAATTCATAGGAACCTAAACCTGGACTAGCATTTGAGTTGAGGTTTGATAATAGGGCACTCTGCTAGGTGTTGATGCGGAAGAGGATTGTCCTCAAGGAATCTGTATCTTCTTGATTCCCTCCATGTCTACGATATTTACAAAGTCCAGCTTCTGTGGTGGCTATATAAATGGGATTTAAAGAACAAAACAGTCTTATACCCTTCACTGAGGAATCAGGACCAGTTTGGTGTGGGGGAGGTTGGGTGAATGACCACAATGAATTGATCAGGCACTGGTTCCAGTACTACTTCCAGTTCTCACCCCCCTCACTCCTACTCATGTGGAATATGCAGAGTCCTTCAGAGCACTGCTGTTTGCTAAAAAGATGAGGACTCTATTGATGGAGATTCCAGAAGTTGGTTTTCACTTCTCTCCAAATAATTAGTTAATAAGGTTTAAGAACTCCAAAACCTCATAATTAGTGCTGAAGATCTTTGAAGAATAGGCTTTTTATAAGTGAAAAACCATTTCATAATATTTTCCACATCCAATAAATCTTATTTGGAGACAAATTTACTTTTCTTATTAAAAACAAAAAACAGCCTGTCGTTCTATACCCCTTTGGCTTATGGGGTACACATGCTCCCATAGGAACAGGAAGTCTGTCCAAACTAAAACTGAAAACCACAATTGCCCAATTGCTTTATTGTTGGTTTCTGCCACAGTGAAAACAATAGCTTCAATTAGAAAATAAAACCCACAGGATTCTGTGCAGGATCGGGGAAAAAGAGGTGGGTATTTGGGGTTTACCTAGACTGGAAGGAGTTTGCTGTCCTGAGGGCGAGAACAAAAGGACTGCAATTGGCCGTGCAGCTCATTGGTCTGTGGGAAGGCATTTTAAAATGCAAGGAATGGAAACTCTTTAAGTCAATGTGGTCTGTAATAATCATTCATTTAAGAGCACCTACTGTATGCCAGACACAGAGGATAAGGTGATGAGTAAGCCCTCATGACTCTCAGATTAGGTATTTATTTAATTAAAGATGCGAAAATGCCAGGAAATAAAAGCTGAGTACAAAGGAGGTCCTAAGTTGGTCTGCAGGAAAAAATGACCTTTTCAGACAGATGGTTGTGGGAGGGGGTGGCCTCGGACGTGAACTTGTCACATGCAGTCAACATGCACTCCTAGTCAGCCTCAGACTGGCCTCCGTGATGTGGCTGTGACACTCTTAATCAGGGAGGGCTGGATGTGGAAGGCGGGAGAAGACCTTGGGTGGAGGCCTAGGGCTGTCTTGAGTGCCCCTCTCCGAAATGGGCAGAGACTGCCCTGGCTGGGAAGCTCAGTTGGTTAGAGCGTCATCCCTGACAAGCTGGGGTTGTGGGTTCAATCCCAGGAGAGAGCACATAAAAGAAGCAACCAATGAATGCATAAAGGAGAACAACAAATCGATGTCTCTCTCTCTCCGTGTCTTTCACCTTCTTTTCTCTCTCTGAGATCAATTTTGAAGAAGGAGAGAAAGAAGGAGAAAGGATGGAGAAAAGAAAGGAAGGAGAAAAAAGAAAAAGAGGTAGAGACAATTTAGGTTAGATCCTGGCCCTGCATTGAATAAATAGCCAGAAACTGGGCAAAAATACATTTACAGTTGTGAGTACATGAGAGACAGAGTTTATTCTTATATTATTATTTTTTAATTATTATGTATTTGTGTTACAACTGTAAACCTACTCTTGCCCACCGCTGTGTTTGCTGAGGAGACTGGACTGCTGTGGCTCAAGTTCTCCCGGCCTCTGGAGAAGATCAGCACTGTTTTACAACTGAACTTCTCTCATGAGTGATTTTTTTTAAAAGACAAAACAAGGGAATTAATTTTTTTGTTGTTGAGGCAAAAAGGGCTCTGTTTAAAGAACAGGGATGTTGTAACATAAACTGACGAAAGCCAGGGAGTCTACAGCCAGAGCAGAGAGCTAAATGTCACATTATCAGCTCCAAACTTGAACTTGCCCAAAAGTATTAGGTTAATGTTGGGAAGATGGTACCATTTAGGAATATTTTAAATCTGATATTTAATTATCCTAATTTGACATTGTCTTTAGGGTCGTGTGGTCTTTACTTACAGGCGCTGTCCCTTAGAGAATGTAGATTCCCACACTACCTTTGTCTTTGAAAAATAATTGCCCTAGGTAATAGTACCCACTTGTACCATTCCTGGGGGAGGGGCATGATAAGGTTACTATTAAATTTCACTTTTATCATGCGTAACACTGGTTCTGAACTGGTGTTCAGAAGAAAGCAGGGAAATGGGTGCTTCAGGGCTTTGTGCTTAAGTTCAGAAAACCAGGGTGGGGCTGGGGGGCAGGGCAGGGGAGCTTCAGGACTCAGGTCAGATTTGGTGCGATGGCCTAAGGAGGGGGGCTGTGAATTTGAAAATGCTCTTGTGGAAAAGCAAGTCCTTTCACATTTTAATAAGTCCCTCTGTACCCGCGTTTGCAAGCGCTACAGGCCTTGCCACTCAAAGCCTAGAAAGGAGGACCAGCTGAACCAGAATCTGCACTTCAATGATGTCCCAGGTGGTTGCCTGCAGTCAGGTCTGAGAAGCTCTGTCCCAGGACATTCTTCATAGTCTGATGCTTCTCTTTCACTCTCCTTTTTAAAAATATTCTTCTGCTCCTCCCCCTCTCCCTCCTCCGTCTGCCCTACCCTCTCTGATTTACATTCCTTACTCCATTCATTCTTTCTCCCCTCCATCCTTGCTTTACTGTTTTGTTTTTTTGGAAGGGTCAGTTTTCCCTCTGCCTCCCCACTTTTTAATTGTTTTTGTCATTGTCTATATGCCATTTCCCTTTTTGATTCTTACCTAAATCCAGGCCCATCCACAATAACTTACTGTCACTAATATGTTCAACATATCTATGGTATATATTAATGTAAATATTTGCACATACCTGTTCTGCCTATTTTCTGCCTTCCAAGTTTTATACACACACACACACGCACACGCACACACACATGTGAATGACATATTTCACCATTTAAAGTAGAAAAATGTACATCTGTGTAAAGAATGGTATAATGAATATCTTTTCTCAGTTTAAAAATGAGAATAAGTGAGGGGTCCAGGAGTCTATGAGTTATGAGATCTTTCTGGTAAAGTAATTCATTCTGTCTGCAATCCTGTCATACATTTGATTAGTTCTCAAATTGCTTTCACTCTTACATCCACTTTGACCTGAACAACCTATCTGGGAAGATAAGGTATTTGTAGCTGTGCTTAAACGAAGTCATTTATTGAAAAGTAGTGGAATTTTCCTCAGATCAAATAGCAAATCGCTGCTCCAGGATTCCAAATAGTAACTCAGTCATGACTTCTGTGTGCTCTTCCTGTGAAGTGTTCTCCCCTTGTCAAGTGCTTTCTGGTCTCCTGTTGCAGTCTCCTTGCGATGCCTGGTAACAGCAAACATCTCATAAGTATCCAAGGGAATAAAGCACAGGTCAGGATGCACTGAGGCTGGTTAGGGGGAAAGATTGGGAGACTTTCCTGGCGGGTGAAGCTCTCTCGGCAGTAAGACTAATTTATTTTTGCTACAAAGCAAGATAGAAAATGTTTCCCTGAAGACCTGAAGGGTAATCTGACATTGAAATAGCAGGAACTTATTGAATATTGTCAAATACAAGAATGAATACAGGGGCCCTGGCCTGGTTGCTTATTTGGTTAGCGTGTCTTCCCAATACTCCAAGGTCATGGGTTCGATCCCTGCTCAAGGCACATAAAAGAATCACCCAATGAATGCATAAATAAGTAGAACAACAAAAATCAATGTTTCTCTCTCCCTCCACCCCCCCTAAAATTGGCAAATAAAATTTTTTTTTTAAAAAAGAATGATACCGGTAAGTGACCATAATACAAAATCAAATGTAGTTGTTGTCAGAAGCCAGGAAGAAATTCCTGTGGGAGCACATGCGAGGAAGAGATGGGCCCTGGTCAAGTTCACATCTTGACTTATTCACTGTGACCTTGGGGAAGCCGCCTCGCAGTTTGATGGCCAGGAGGGTAATAAGAAGAATAGTACCACTTCATAGAGATATTGTGAAAACTAAATGAAATATTTTACATAAAATGTTTAACAAGTGCCTGATAAAGTATGAGCTGCTCCTACATGCACTGCTTAACCGTGGGGTACAGTAGGCAATATCATCCATGGGCCACCATCGTAGGGTTCATGAACCTAGATAATCTAGGCTACTATACATCTGGGCTGTACGGAACAACCCGTTGCTCCTAGGGTACATGTCTGTCAAGCATGTTCCTGTACAAAACAACATGAGATTAAACAAAGCACAAGAAAACATGGTTTAATCAAGAGATGTGGTAAACACAAGATGTGTGAAGCTGTCTTACAGGAAACTTGAAAGAATGCAGTCTAAAGTAACAATAAAAATGTAGCACAGTACATCCATAAACCGGTAACACAGTCATTTGTCGTTTTCGGTGTTATGGGCTGCACGTAGTGGCACGTGCTACATACTCTGTGACCAGCAGCCCGGTAGGTGTGTTCACACCTGCACCTCCACAGACGCAGGAGTAATGCAGTGGGCTATGACGTTATGACGGCGACAATGTGACTAAGCAGAAGTGGTTTTTTTTAGCTCCATTATAATCTTACAGGACCCCTTTTGTATCTGCAGTCCATCATTGACCAAAACGGCGGAGCAATATTAACATTTTAAGTAATTAACTTTTCCATTTTTCGTATCTTCCCTCTCTGTTTCCTTCCTTTAGCATGAGCCGCACCGCCTACACTGTGGGAGCTCTGCTTCTCCTTTTGGGGACCCTGTTGCCAGCTGCTGAAGGGAAAAAGAATGGGTCCCAAGGTGCCATCCCCCCGCCAGACAAGGCCCAGCACAATGACTCTGAGCAGACTCAGTCTCCCCAGCAGCCTGGCTCCAGGAACCGGGGGCGGGGCCAAGGGCGAGGCACTGCCATGCCCGGGGAGGAGGTGCTGGAGTCCAGCCAGGAGGCCCTGCATGTGACCGAGCGCAAATACCTGAAGAGAGACTGGTGCAAAACCCAGCCGCTCAAGCAGACCATCCACGAGGAAGGCTGCAACAGCCGTACCATCATCAACCGCTTCTGCTATGGCCAGTGCAACTCCTTCTACATCCCCAGGCACATCCGGAAGGAGGAAGGCTCCTTCCAGTCTTGCTCCTTCTGCAAGCCCAAGAAGTTCACCACCATGATGGTCACACTCAACTGCCCCGAACTACAGCCACCCACCAAGAAAAAGAGGGTGACCCGTGTGAAGCAGTGTCGTTGCATTTCCATTGATTTGGATTAAGCCTGGACACCCTCTGCCAGTCCTAGGGATGCAGCCCCAGGAGGTTCCAGAGCCAGACCTAAAACAACCTGATTCGAACTTGGCTTAACCCCAGAGGCAGGAAGAACCACCAGCTGCCTCCTGACAGGCACCTGCTAGTGCTTAGGTTCTGTGCATGAGTGTGCGTAGGTGCCTGTGGCTGTTTGCAGACACCAGAGGAAACACAGTCTCTGCTAGAGGGCACTTCCTATTATCTAAATGAATCTGCTTCTGCAGGGGATGGTGCAGAAAGCCCGCTCCACCCAAGGCACATTTAACAGGCGCAGAGCTGAGCTCTGCTTCCGCCTTTGCCTTCCAGGTGCCCTCCTGGGGACCAGAATCTCTCTTTAGAATGAATGTTAATGGAAGAGGCTACTCTGAGGGCAGGAGGCCTCTTTTAGTGCTGTATAAGACTTGGAGAAGGTATCTCAACCTGTACCTGCTTCCTGCCTTCCTCCTCTCTTCCATAGTCAACCCCTTTTTGGGATCTCAGTGACTATTTCAGTCTAATCTATTTGCCAAGCGTTCTAAATTACCTCACTTGACCATGGATATAAATGTTTCCCATTTTTGGAATACCCTTCAGTCTCTGGGGGAGGCTGGTATAGGCAAGGGCAAGAAAGATGGAGGGGTGATTGAACGTGAGGACCAGTCAGAGTCGCCCAAACTCATTAGGGAGATGTGCAGGCTCTTGGGAGGCCAACCTCAAAACACAGTGAGGCTCCTGCATTAGTAGTTTTCTTTCCTGGTATTTAACAGAACCCAAGTGAACAGAGGAGAAATGAAATTGCAAAAAATAAAATCATTAACCTTGGCTGCCACTCTGATTTGCTGAAACTAGTTGGAACCCAATACCAAACTTAAAACATAAATACTGACCCTGCTAGTTGCAGAACTGAGTGAATGAGCTAAGCCAAGACAGATGCTTTCTGCTTTGCCCGCCAGGTGGACCATAGATGTCCAGAACCCCCTCCCCAGGGATAGGAAAAGAACAAAAACCTCGTAAGCAGAAGGTCCTAACTTCTTTTGCTTGTTTATAATCATCTCTTTCCCAGTTCACTCTTTTCTGTGTAATGCTTCTACGAGCCACAGCCCTTTGTTTTAAAGATTCTGCCTCTGCTGAGTGTTACCTGACAGTGAAGAACTAGGCGGAGATGAGAGCAGTCAGGGCCTGCTCCATTTTCTCTAGAAGCGTATTTTGGGTCTCTTGGTTTTAGCCATTGGTGGGAGTGGAGCTGGAGAGCAGAGGGGATTAAGGAAATAAAGCAGATTGCCTCTGGCCAAGGAGTAGCTTAATGCCTGGCAGGAGGTGTGAAGACTATGCCTTCCTCTGCTCACTTTGCCCTCTGAGGGTCTAGTGGGAAACTCCAGATAAGAAATCACAGCATTTGGCTTCATAAACTGTCCACTTACTGCTGGTGGGGTTTGTGCAACATTGTAACTACTCAGAACCTACCCCTAGACTCTGTCCTCTGATTAAACTTGGGCTACTAGCAATACCTACTTAGGATTTACCTAACAGCCAAAGTGTGGTGTGGGTGAACCATACTGCATTTTGGGTTTGGCGAACCTGTTCTCTTCAAGCCCGAGGTTTTATGTGTAAACCGCCCTTCCCCACTTCCCCGGACACTTTTGCCTTGTACTGTCTCAGCCTCACGAGCCAAGTCACATGTAACATGGGAGACAAACACCATTGACTTGCACTTCAGTAGCCGGTCAAGGCTCCAGCGTTTAAAGATCCATCACAACTAAAGAGGCTGTTTTTATTTTTTGTTTTGGTTCAGTGTTCTCCCATTAACAACTAAATAGGAACCGTACTTTGAGGCAGAAGTTATTTTTGAACACCCAAAATACTGGGTCTAATTTTTAAACTTTAAAACTCACTACTGATGATCCTGCTACACTACGCGAATCTCTGCGGACACGCTGCCTGTGCATTTCGTATACACTGTACGCCCCTGCCCCAAGTCTATCGTCCACGCCCTCCGACAGTAAAGCACAGAATGGGTTTCACTGAGCACGCAAATGCTAAGCCAGAATTTTGATGGTGGGGGAGAGAAAGAGAACAGGGAAGGAGCTAAAAATGTAAAACCATGCTAGAGAGGGGAAAAAGACATTCAGGACCAGCCGGCACTGAATTTCTCTTGTAACTCTGCCACAAGCATGCAACTAAGTGTATTAAAAAGAGATGACTTAAGTTGGCAGCAGTAATCCTCTTTTAGTAGTGTGTACCACAGTCTTGCATTAAGTTGAATTTGGCTGAAGTAAAGAGAATTTCCTCAAAATGAACTTCACTGGGATGATCAGCATAACTGCCCTAAAAACACAGCACCGGCCAAAGAAGGAACTGTCTGCTTTTCTTACTGTGCCTATATTAAGACTAACACAAGTATGGTGTCTTCCAACATTTATTGAAGTGCCATATCTGTTGCATAATGTATTGGAGTCACCAATGATGTGATACTTTTTTTTCATTACTATAGTAGAATTTTTTTTTAAAATGGCAAGATATTTGTGATCTCGATCAAATAATGCCAAACATCAAATAGGAATTTTATGATGCCCTCTGAGAGAAGATGTGCTTGGCATTGAAAAACACACAAAACAAATACCTTGCAAGTCTGTACATTGTTTTTTTGTTTATGTTATTGTAGTTCTTCAAAAAAGTTCAAAATGTAAGTGAAAATTCTGGAGGAAAGGATAATTTCCACTGTGTGGAATGTGAATAGTTAAACAAAAAGTTATGGTTATTTAATGTAATTATTAATTCAAATCCTTTGGTCACTGTGATTTCACACATTTGTTTTCTCCTTTATTTGTCTTCCTTTGAGCCGAGCAAAGAAGAGTCTGGCACATTGCATGCTGTTGGCGGCTTTTATCTGGTCAGAGGGAAATCACAAGATCTTGACATATCTGAACATGCATCACAGAGTCGAGACCTGAGCTTTAATTTTTTTTTGATTGAATGTTCCTTAAAGGTTAACATTTCTGAGGCAATATTAAGGATAATTTTAAATGCTGTTTTGGAAGACTTATGATGTGTGTGTACAAATAGCAGATAGTAGTGAATAGTTCACAAGTCCTTTTAAGGAGAAAATCTAAAATGAAAAATGTATGTGCAGAACATTTATAAGTGACAAGTTAATGCTTAAGAGTGAAAGTAGTCTATTGATTTGTTCTCAAGATATTTAATATCAACTGCATTGTGTATTATGTCTGCTTTAATCATTTAAAAACAACAGAGGATTATATAAACTATGATTGAGGTACTTTGCTCTGTATGAGGATGAGAGGGGATTTGATAGTATCATAAAAGTTAATTTGATTTAAAGCAGAGTTTTATGAATCTGTAAGTAGAATGTAATTTCACTCAAATTATGTTCTATATAACCTTTCCCAAAGAGCAATCAATAAACTGAACCTCTTCTGTGTGTGTGTGTGTGTGTGTGTGTGTGTGTTTAACGGGAAGTGATTACAGGGTAGAGGTAGTGCAAGGATTCTTTTGTCATGGGGCTGGAGATAGGAAAACAATTCTTGTGACCTCAAAGGGAATTTATGTCTCCCACCTAGACCTTCCAGATCCTGCTGATGTCAGCACGATACTTCAGGCTGTGGCACTTAGAGGCAGGGAGAAGCTGGCGCACAAAGGAACAGACCAACCTCTTCCCAGAGCTAGAGAGGAGAGTGAGAAAGGGTTCTGAGAAGCCTTCAGATAGTGGAAGAATCATCCCAGAAGTGATAATAGCTTTATTTGGAGGTGTTGAAGGGAGAAATGGGAGAAAGAGTTTGGTCTCAGCAGAAAGAAGAGCTCCCTGATGGTGCGGGTGATTCAGCAGTGCCGTGAGCTGCCATGAGAGGGGGAGCTCCGTCCTTTGGAAGCATTAAACCATACGCTAGATAACTCTGTCAAGAAAAGTCACTAAGCAAAGAAACAACAACAAACAGCAGCAACAAACAGTTCTGGGGAGGGGAGGAGAGACTGATTTCAAGAGTTACCACATTTTATTACTTAAAATGCCCAGCTTTCAACAAAAAAGTATTAGTCATGCAAAGAAACAAGAAAGTATGGTCCACATACAGGGGAAAAAAACCAAAAGAACTGTCCCTTAGAAAACCCAGATACTGAACTAATTAGACAAATACTTTAAAACAACTCTTTTAAATATTCAAAAACTAAGGAAAACCATTCTTAAAAACTTTAAAGAAAAACAGGAGAATGGAATCTCATCAAATCCTGGATACAAGTATAAAGAAGTTACTATAACAAAACAAAACAAAAAACCCACATAGGAACTTTGAAGCTGGAAAGTATAAGTGAAATGAAAATTTTACTAGAGGGGCTAAACAACAGATTAGAGAAGGCAGGATAAAACTGGGAAACTTCACCTAGACCAATGGTGATGGGGGGAGGCGGGAAGGAGGGCTCTATTAAAATCAGGAATGAAAGAGAAAACACTATTATGGAAAGAAATAAAAAGGGTTGTAAGAGAATACTATGAGCAACTGTATGCCAACAAATTAGATCATTTTAATGAAATGGATGTATTCCCAATGTAACAAGAAGTCTAATTCCATTTTTTCATGTTTGACTCCTAACACCTTTTAAGCCTTACTCCTCTCTCTTTTTCTTCTGCCCCATATCTGGGCAAGCTGACAAGCAAGCCCAGGCTCTCCCTCCTTTGGCACTGATGGAATGATCAAACCACTCAAGGGCCTCCTTGCCTGTGAAAACCCTCATCCCAGCCTCACCTTTCAACCCCTGTAACAGCTTCACATCAATCCCCTGTCCCCACTCTCAGACCAGGTTGGGAGGCCTGCCCTGCTCTCCCCTGAAAGCCTTGTTATGCGAGTAGTAAAACTTTTCATACACTCTTGTGTGCATGGTGTCATCATCAGTCTTGACATCTGAACCAAACTTTGAATAAAGGTCTAGGTGTCTACAACACCTAGTAACACACAAACTACTGAAATGATTCAAGAAATAAATAATTGAATAGAACTACACCAATAAAGAAATTGAACTAGCAATCAAAAACTTTCCATCAAGAAGAATCCAACACCAGATGGCTTCATTGGTGAGTTTTACCAAATAATGAAAGAATTAATACCAATTCTTTACAACCTCTGCCAAAAAACAGGAGAGATGAGAACAAGTGACCACTATTACTCTGCTACCAAAACCAGATGAATACATCACAAAACAAAACTACAGACAAATATTCCTTACAAATGTAGATGCAAAAATTCCCAATCAAATACTAAGTAACTGAATTCAGTAACATATAAAAAGGATTATACACCATGACCAAGTGGGATTTGTCCATGAAAGTACGGTTGGTTTAATCATCAATCAATGTAATACATCATATTAGTAGAATAAAGGACAAAAACCACACAGTCTTGCAGAAAAATCACTTGACAAAATCCGACACCCTTTCATGATAAAATCACTCAACACACCAGGAATATAAGGAATTCTGATAAAAGACCTGATAAAAGGCATCTATGAAAAACCCACAGCTAATATTACTGAAGGGTAAAAGACTACAAGCTTTCCCCCAAGGATATCTGCTTTCACCACTTCTTTTCAACATTGTACTGGAGGTCCTAGCCAGGGCAATTAGGCAAGAAAGGAAATAAGAAGTCATGCAGATTGGAAAGGAAGAACTAAAACCATTTATTTTTGCAGATAGAATCTTGTATGTATGAATCCTAAGGAATCCACAAAAGAAGTATTAGAGCTGTCTTAGTCCATTCAGGCCGCTACAACAAAATACCACAGGCTGGGGAGCTTCTTAAAAACAAACATTTGTTTCTCACGGTTTTAGAGGCTGGAAGTCCAGATTGGGGTGTTAGCATGGTTAGGCAGCAGTTTGCTTCCATGTCTGGAGCCTCATTTATAAGGCACTAATCCCGATCACGAGGGTTCCACCCTCCCAAAGGGCCCACCTAGTAAAGCCATTACCTGTGGGGATTAGGATTTCAACATAGGAATTGGAAAGGGGAGAGGACGCAGACAACTGGGCCATGGCAAGAGCTAATAAATGAGTTTATCAAGGTCGCAGCAAGCTGAAGATAAAAAAAATTAATTTTATCCTCTACACTACCACTGAAAAAAAATCTAAAACTGAAATTAACCAAGTAATTCCATTTGCAACAACATCAAAAATACATAGGAATAAATTTAACAGAAGAAATACAAGACTTGTACACTGAAAATGATAAAACATTGCCAGAAATATTAAATACCTAAAAAAATAGAAAGACATTCTGTGTTCATGGATTAGAAGAGTCAATATTGCTTTGCAGATTCAACACAACCTCTATCAACATTCTAACTGATTTCTTTGCAGAAACCGACAAGCTAATCCTAAAATTCATATGAAAGTGCAAGGGACCCAGAATAGACAAAATAGGCTTGAAAAAGAAGGGCAAAGTTGGAGGGTTCATGCTTCCTGATTTTAAAATTTACAACAAACAATTGTTACAAGGCAAACAGACTCTCAAACCACCACTAGGAATGTTTCCATCCTCTCCAGAAGTTTGTCTTATGACCCACCTCAACTTTAACCCGTTCCGCGCTGCAATAATAATCACTCTCAGCTTTTGTAATAACGTCTTCTTTGCCTGTCTTTATAGTTTTATCACCACAGTGTGAATCCCTAAACTGTACACTCTAGTCTGGTGGTAAACAGCTTAAGCGAGAAAAGATAAAGGCCTGAATTAAGGAGGCCCTGACCCCTTCCTAGGATCTCGGAGGGATTACTGTGTACTCAGTGTCCGCGTCCTCCTGTTGCACCATGTTTACTGGGAAGAAGATAAAAATAATTAGATATTTCAAATATTTTAAATAATTATTGTGTTTCTAATTATCATAAAAAAAGCTTAGAGGCTGATGCTCATGAGGATTTTACCAAGAATCTTCTATAGTTATGATTGAAACCACTTTTTCTCTCTTTTTTGTGTATCATTAGCACATTGGAAATGAACTTCAGTGCCTCCCAGATGTTCCACAGGTGCCAACACTGACCCCTTGAGTGGAGAAGTTTATAACTGTGCACAGCGATAGCAGAAGTTTAATATGTGAAGTAAATATTTATTGTTTTTGACTTCTGGCATCTCGTTTCCTTAAATTCCTTTTTTTTTTTTTTTTTTAAAGCAACTGTTCCCCCATTCCATGTGGTTCCATCCAGGCTTCTTATTACTGTGTCTTTCATCCTTGCTCCCTCGCCAGGCATGGGGGTGACTTAAGACCATGCTGGAAAATCAGAAGACTCCTTTCACTTGTCCACCATGATTTATTTAAAAAATGAGCTTGAAACAACTTGGATGCATAAGAATCTTCCTTAAGATTTGAATATGAAGACTAGGATAAACAAGATCTTTCCTTCTTGGATTACAAATTAAAATATTCCTGTCGACCAAATCTGATGACAGCTATCTTTCCCAGGTATAAAGATGAAATTTCCTGAAAAATGAGACCGCCACACACAGAAAAGCAGAACCAAAAGATGGACTAAGTATCTAAGAAATTTTTTCCCTGGATCAAGCTATACTGGAAGTCAGGCTAACTTCTGAGTCATCCTGTATTAGTTATATACTGCTTTAAAACAAATTATGCTAAGACTTGGTAGCTTGAAACAACAAACATTCATTATTTCACACATATTCTGATAGGGAACTGGAAGTCACTAAATTGGGTGGCTCTGGCTCAAAATCTGTCATAAGCTTGCAGTTTAGGTGTCGGCAGGGGCTGTACTCATCCGCACGCTTGACTGAGGCTGGAGAATCCCCTTCTAACATGGCTCATTCACATCGCTGTTGGCTGGAGGCCTCAGCTCCTCATGGTGTGGACCTCTCTTCACAACATGATAACTGGCTTCCTCCAGAGTGAATAACGGAAGAAAAAGCGAGGAGGAAGCACAGTACCTCTTATGACTTAGTTTCCGAAATCACACAACTTTTCTTTCACTTCATTCTATTTGTCAGAAGCAAGTCACTAAGTTGAATGCCTACAATAAAGAGGAGGGTTTTTGGCCTTCACCTCTTGAAGGGAGAAGTGTCAAAGAACTTGTGGTTATATTTTAAAATCAACACACTCTTAGTTATATGAATCATTAAATTCAATTTTTGGCTTAGCTTGTATTGGGCTTATGTCACTTCAAGACCCAAAGAATCCTCTATCTGTGTCACTAAGAAAGGTTTAGATATCATTATTTATTGTTTTTACTCTAGTGAGCTGACCTCTCACAATGTAATGCAGGCAGAGCACTGCCTCTGTGTCATCT